GGCAACGAGAAGTCGCACCGCGACAAGAAGATTCCCGATGACCAGCGTACGACGACTCCCTACATGACAAAGTACGAGCGCGCCCGTATTCTGGGAACCCGCGCCCTGCAGATCAGGTTCGTCAAACCGCAATCCCACCCAAAGCAAATACCCCGCGATAAAGTCGCGATGCACGCGGACAAAAACAAGCTAATGCATGGGATTAGTATGAATGCGCCGGTGCTGGTGGACTTGGAAGGAGAGACGGATCCTCTTCAAATCGCGATCAAGGAGCTCCGAGAGAAGAAGATCCCTCTCATTGTGCGCCGCTACATGCCCGACGGATAGTAAGTGCCGGACGACAAACCCCTCCCCCGGACTGTCCACGCAAGCTTCGTGGCCATTCTGCACCGTTATCTTGAGCCATGCCCGGCTAACCTTGCGCGCCAATAGCTACGAGGATTGGACCTGCGAGGAGCTTCTCCAGTGAGGGGACTACTGACTTTTTTTTTCTCTCCAAACTTTTCGGGGGACAAAGAGAGACGCGCGACTAGATGCAAGGCACCTTATACCCATCTCCTATCGTCGTTGCCTCAAGAGTAGTCAAATGTCCGAGCAGAGAGTTTCCTACCATGGATCTCATTACCAGCTCGCTTCGCCGTTGAGCCAGACGCTCGCAGGCAAGCTTGAGAAGAGACGTTCCATCCAAAAACCGTTATAAAAAGAAGACACACCACAGGGGTTAGTGTGCTGTACTTTGATTTTGCATTGAGCGTGGCGTTTTCTAGGAAAGAAATTGGAATTTTCAGACATCAAAGAACCATCTCAATTGTGAGAAGAAAACCTTGAATCCCAGTTCTCGTACTCTCGTCACTTTCTTCTTGTTTCTATTCGCTTTTCCGGGCTGAAAATAGCGGACTGCAGTGATTCATCACAGGATTACGTGGTCCTGCTCAGATCCTCGCTTCGAGTGGCAGCCTGCAGTGTAACCAGTGGGAGAGTGGGAGACGAGCCGGTACGCACCTTCCCAACACTGAGAAGCGTCCCTACCAACCCCCGCCGAAATTAAGCGAGGTGTCCGGCTTGGCGAGTCAGCGAACCGATCGTCGCTTCCTTCCCGGCCGCGAGCCTCCCGCCTTCCGGAGCGCGACGGGCCACGGACCTCGGCGCCGTCAAGCCGTGGAGCTGTCCCCTTATCGATGAGGATCGGCAACGTCAACGTAAACAACAACGTTTTCCTTCTTCTATCTGAGCTTACACAGCCCCGTTCACCCCAGGTCCCACCTCTCGTCCGATATCTCACAACTTAACCTAGGTACAAGGTTGTTTCTGTTTCCCTTACCTCCCCACCGCCCCCATGTACCTCCTTCCTTCTTTCAACTAAGGCTTGCCGGGGTGGCACGAAGAAGCTTATGGGCGACGACTTGGCCTGCACCTGAGGCTGAGGCTGGTGGGCAAGCTAGAGAAGGTTGGGAGAGAAGACCGAGAGGGAAAAGCTTAGCCAAGACCATGCCTAAACGACGTATTGGATCTTGTCTTCATTGGCCCAGATGCTCGTCAAAGGGTAATTGACGCCGAATAGCTTACCTTCTGATCCAAGCTTCTGGCAATCGTGGTTCGATCCGCCCAAATATGTCTACTAGACTAGTTCACACTCTATTGCTTCCAACGAATACACACTCAGCCTTTCAATCGCCTCTTTCTTGGCATGAAGGATATCTGGATAACGCAACGGATCGAGCCGGGCGCAACTACCAAGACGACCAGCATCATCCATTTTCCCACACTTTGATTGTGAACAGAGAGCGAAAACGAAGGAGGGGGACAAGGACCGACGACGCTTGCTAACACGGCGGTCTTCTCTCCTTTGCAGCCTTCCATTCCCTTCTACATATCCCACATCACTTTCCCATCGCCTTGGCTCGGACCTCCTCCGCCGCGCTCGGCCGACCACGTCTTCAATGTCCACCGTCCACGAAGCATGCGGGTTATCGTCTCTGCTTCACAGCCTTCACTCCTACTCTGGCCCCCTCTCTTCCCCGCCTGGCCTCTCGAATCACGCCGTCCATCACGGAAAGCAAGCTGGATCTCTTCTCCCGTCACCCGGAAGACCAGAACCACCACCATCCCGTCCACACCACACCTCAGCTCCCGAACGCGAGACCGCGGCTGTCCGGCTTGGCCCTCACCCAACCGGCGGGCTTCTCACATACTTCTCTTGGCTCCGCTTCACTTCCAACACTACGCCGTGCTTCTCAAGTACAACTCTTGGCGCTTTCCCGCCCTTGCCCTCCTTTTCCCACCAACCTGTACACGTATACTCACAGCCATGAAAGCGTCGTCATGTCTGTCTATTTTGCTCACCTTCCCCCCCTTGTACGTCGTGATCCCTGTGGGTCTGTATCCCGACTAGCCGGGTAGCTTTGCAGCTGCTTGTGCTTGTCACCTTCTCTGGAAGAGGAGGAAGACGAAGGGCGGCAGAGGGGGAAAATGAAGCTTCGAACACGTTGATCATCGCCGAGCCCATGGCACGACATGTTAACCCTTTCTCTTGGCAAAACATTGTGGACTTCCAACTCAGTATAAAGAGTAGAGTCAGTGACCGCCCTTTCGACGAGAGGAAGATGGCTGGACAAGCAAGACATTCCAATCCTCAGCCTGGCTTCCCCCTCCCCATACCTTTTTCGGTATATTCCATTAGCAGCAGAGAGCCTTTCCAAGCCGGCACATGCTCGCTTCTTTTCTATAAGGCCCTTTTCCGCCTAGGTCCACAAGTCCTTTCTCAGTTTCACAATGCTCCCTCAAGCATCTGTTCTCGCGGCCGTCTTGCCGGCGCTGACGCTGCTGGTCCCAGGCGGCGTCTATGGCCTCGCGGTGGCGTCCAGAGCGACGAACTATACCCAACAAGCCATCGACTCTGGCGCTGTGCTGTCTGATCTCAACAAACAGGCCTACAGCAACGTTCTTGCTCGTCTCGGGAACGCGACTGCGGCCGGTCAGAACGGGACCGCGCAGTGCACAAAAGACAATGTCAGAGTCCGTCGCGAGTGGTGAGTCTTTTGATACCGGTCTTTTGGGTCTGATTTGTTCCTGGCCCAGTCTTGAGGAAAGGGGGAAGAGGATAGGGCAGACAATTTGATAGGGGAAGTAACTTGTGGACTGACATCGACTGTGCTTTGCCTTACAGGAGAAACATGCCGGATGAAGAGCGCATTAGGTACACCGATGCCGTGACCTGCCTCCAGCAGCAGCCGGAGTTATTCACCGAGATTGCCGGGTCCAAGTCCATGTTTGATGACTTTGTGGCCCTGCACCAGGCAGCGACACTTTACGTCCACCTGTCGGTAGGTTATCGACCCAGACGAAGCAGTTTCCTGTATGTGTAGGAGAACCTCCCGCTAATTGGAGTACTCATCTCAGGCAACGTTCTTCCTCTGGCATCGCTACTACATCTGGACATATGAGAACAAGCTGGAGTCGGAGTGCGGCTACAACGGTACGCTTATCACTCCTTATACACATGCTCTAACATGAAAGCAAGATGAGCAAGACTAACACCACGCCAGGATCTTTCCCCTACTGGGAATGGGGTTTCGACACGGCCAACCTTTCCGCGAGCCCCGTCTTTGACGGCTCCGCGACCTCGATGGGCAGCGACGGCGTCCCGACCCCTCACCAAGGGCTCGTCCTCGTCAACGCGTGGGATAACACCACAACAGTACTCCCCGCCGGCACAGGCGGCGGCTGCCTGGCTTCGTCCTCGGCCCCGTTTGCCAACCAGACGGTCCACCTCGGCCCGCAGGCCATGCCGGACTACGGCAACGTCACCTCTTACAACTCGGCCACGCCCACCGACGACAACCCGCGATGCCTGCGCCGCGATCTCAACGTCTACCCGCTCCAGCGCTGGGCCAGCCTCCGCAACACGACGGACCTGATCCGTGACGCCGCTGACATTGAGAGGTTTCAGGCCGTCGCACAGGGGGACTCGCGGTACGTCGGAACGGGCCAGCTAGGCGTCCACGGGGGCGGGCACTATGCGCTAGGAGGGGACCCTTCGAGCGACGTCTACCTCAGCCCTGGTGATCCCGTGTTCTATCTTCATCACGCTCAGATGGACCGTCTCTACTGGATCTGGCAGAACTTGGACTGGCAGAATCGTCAGGTCAGTTATCAACTCGCACAGTCTTTGCTTTCACTTACTTGCCTTCCGCTCATCTTCTTTTCCTTACTTTGTGATGATCAATGAATGAGGCACTAACTTCCGCCATAGACAATTTTCGGTACGAACACCACCATGAACCAGCCGGCTAGCGCCAATGTGACACTCGACGACTTGTTACGCATCGGACTGAGGAGACCGCTTTATGTCAGGTGAGCTTTGGAGGGGCTTGAGTTAGTCTGTGTTGGCAAGTTGCGATATAGCATTCTCATTTTCTCATAATAGCGGTGCATGTGTGTAAGATAGACAAAGATAATAGAGAAGAACTGCTGATCATCGATTTCTTGCACCGAGCGAGTGACAAGTGATGTTTGCCAAATTGCAGCAGCCGCGATGTGCGGCTTGATGGGACGCATGGGAAGGAACGGAGTCTCGGACTGTTATAGTAGTTGCAACCACTACTTGTATCTAAAGTACTTGCATTAATAAATAAACAGTTCCTGAAGCACCTACCTACTCTTATGCTACCGGTGCATTTCTCTCCAGACTTATCCGCAGACTTTAGTACCGATATCCATTCATTCCTACGATAGGGACTATTCATGCCCGTCCCAGATCAGGACATACTCCACGAGATATGGCATCAACGGCGCCTACCCCGTTCACCTGTACCTTCTGCTTCCAGCCCTCCGACGGCCCTTCACACGTCATCGGCCGGGAAGCCCGCCTAAGCTGCTCGCCCTGCTACGGCGCGTTGATCGATCTGGCCATCTGCTGGGTTTGCGGTGAGATCGTCTACCGGGGAGACGACTGCGTCAGCTTGGGGTAGTGCTTCTGGCATCGCGCGTGTTATGGATGTATGTTCTACGGGAGCAAGCTCATCTACCGAGGGGTGCCTGTGCTGGACCTCTTTGACGATGGTCTCGATGCCGTTGTTGATGGGAGGAGCATGGCTGGCAGGATTGCTGGAACGGAAGGCAAGGGGAACATGAAAGAGGTGGAGGCGGTGCCGCTTTGTGCTGCGTGTTGTGTTGGTACGGAGGGGGAGGACGTGGTGCAGAAGGGGTTGAGGAGGGTTGAAAGGGTTGATGGTGGACTCGGCCGCGCGAGATGGGGTGCTGGTGAGACCAGAGCCGGGCAGTTGAGAAGGGCTCCGGCGGTAAGTTATCTGAGTGTGATGAGGGAGTCGATGCTGACTTCACCCTAGTCTATCCGATCTCTCAGCCCAGACTCGTCATCATTCCGCAGAATAGGAGACGGATCCCACGACGAGAGCAGAGGGTATCTGGCAACACCACCCGGAAACTCTACGATATACGTCTCCATCAACGATCCCATCGGCCAACCTGCCTTCAAGCCAAGTCCAACGAAGCCTATACCGATATGGATGCAGCCATTTCGGGGCCTTAAGCAAGTGGCCAGTGAAGAGCAAAAAGAAATCTATGTGTCTCATCCACTCTCTGGCCTCTCGCAGACTCCAGTGACGTCAATCTCCGGGACCCCCTCAATAGGGTCATCGAATTCACTTACACCGACCATCAGACCAATTACACCGGCCCGCTCCACATCGCCGCCGCAAACACCGCCGAGATCTCGTTCGATCTGGACGCCGTCTGAAATTCGACGAGCACCACCTCTCTCGTGGGTCAGCAACGAGCCCCTCAAGCGGCCGTCCTCTCGATTTGCGTCCCGTCTCGAGAAGTCGGACACGACGACGTCGTCGGGTTATGTCACTCCGCCAGAGACGCCCTCCGAGCAGCAGACGCGGTACAACACCCCACCGCCGCCGCCGCAGCCGCAGTTACGGCGAGTGCGGCCGCAGAGTCCACTGGTCCCTGCTCGTGTCCCACGGCGTCACGCCGTGCGTCGAACGCCTCCGCCTCAGTCGTCCGAGTACCTAGAGCGGTACAATCCCATCCGGTCCCCGTCGCCGCGACCACGGATCACACGACCAGTCATGTCAGCGTTCAGTCCACCCAGTCGTGCCAGAGCCAGCTTGGTGGTGTCGAGGCATGCGACTAAGGATGATGGTAATGGCCCGACTCCAGATCCGAACCAGAGCATGGAGAGGCTTCTCTCGGATGGGGCCGACTCGCCAGGCGAAGCGGGGAAGAAGAGGAATTTGCAGGCTTTACGAAAGCTGTTCAGCGGAAAGTGAGGAAAGTGGCGGGGCAAACATGCCAGACCCCAGAGATGGAATAGCACTTGAGCAAGTATCTTGTACCGCTAGTGATAGTGTGGAATGCGGGAAACATTCGAGAATAGATTATATCTTCAGCAATGGATGCCTCAGTGCTAATCTCACAACTTTGTGGGCTCTTGCCGGAGCCTCGACAGCATGGCTGAATCGAGAAGCATAACTAATCCATCTGGCTGTAACATCATCCCTCTGATATTCATGTAGAGGGGTTGTAAGACTGGAAAGCCTCTTCACAAATAAAGACCGGGGTCGCGACATAACGGCCTTGGTCGCGCCAGGGACCCCGTCTGCAGTCGCACTTGTCATCCCTGCAAGCGCCCCCACACTCACCCACAAGGTGTGTGCCACCGGCCCATCCCGCCAACTGGCTAGCACCAATTCCATCCATCCATCCATCAATCAATCCAGACACAACCTCGACCTTGATTACTTTCCACTGCATCCCGCTAATTTCTCAGCCTCGTCCCTCACAGCGCAACCTCACATTCACCCACCACAACTTCCATCAACCGTTTCTCGACCGAGGCGCTTCTCCCATCCGCGTCGCATTGCTACCCTCTACCTAAAGCCAACAACTACACATACGACAATACGCAGCGAGATATCGCGGGAACCCGTACCCAAAATGGCGCCGATAGACAAACCAACCCCCGAAGAGCTGGAACGTACGTATAACCCTCACCCACGTTGCGCCACCAAGCATTTCACTAACGCACGCGTGCCCCCAAAAAAACAGAGCAACTAAAAGACACAATTCAAGACCTCTACCAAATCCTAGTCCAAGTAACAACCTACAACGCGACCCCTTCCGCGCCCACCGCCCCGGCCCTCGCAGACTCGGTCCAAGCCCTCTCGCACTCCCTCCAGCGCGTCCACATGACCGCCACAGCAGGCGCCCCGCCCTCCCCCGACCTCCCCGGCGCGCTGCCGAAAATCCCGCCCGAGCTGGTGCAGTACGTCGAGAACGGGCGGAACCCGGACATCTACACGCGCGAGTTTGTGGAGCTTGTTAGGCGCGGGAATCAGCTCATGAAGGGCAAGATGAATGCGTTTGCGCAGTTTCGGGATGTCCTTGCGGATCATGTCGAGAGGGGCATGCCGGAGTTGAGGGAGGATGTTGGGCGGGTGCTTGAGGGGGGCAAGGTTGTTGGGAGCGGGAAGCCTGGTGGCGCGCTGTGAGGTGCGCTGTTTTTCGGAAGTGTTTGGTTTACGAGCTTCGGGGGAGGCCTTGAGAGGATCAGGACATGCGGTCTTCGGGGAATCCGGGCAGACGAAATGAGCGCAAGCTGGAGACGACCAAGCGCCAGGGTTGGATACCCAGTGGTGAAGGTGCATGGAGAGAGTTTGATACCCAGAGACAGACAGAGTCGTGTGAATAGCACGTTACGCACCATAATGGAATATACGGACTAATTAGCAACGAAATTAAGCTTGTGCTAGCAAGTCTTTTCCACACGACGTTTGCAGAGTCAATTTCCAGCTGGTTAACTATGACTAACTTCGCGCGCAAGAAGAAAACACACGACAAGATTTTGTAGGGGCATCATCACTCATATGCCCCTTTCAATGAGATATGCAAGACGCCTTCCAACCCATCCTTTCCCCAGGTTCGGTCATGAAATTCGGATTGGTTTCTGAGGGATATTGTTTGGTCGTGAACTCTTCTTCTCTCTTCTCTGTTCCTCTTCCCTCTCTGTCCCTGGTATGTCTCTACAAAAAGGGTTGTAAAGGTGTGAAAAGGAAAAAAAAAGTGGCAAAGAGAAACGTCAAAAAAAGGGACGATTTGGGTCGATCGATGCCTGGGTAAAAAACGCCGCCCGTGACACTTTTCTGTGCGTTTGTAGTCTATCCGGATCTGCAGTCGAAAAAAAAGACAACACAAAACTCATTCCCCGCCGCGGAGCCGTATGCTCAGCTTCCGGGCCCCTATGATGCAAATGTACACGAATCCCACAGCTGCCGCTACCAGCAACAGGAGCTGGAACGGGACAAGGACCAGGGCGGCCACGATCCAGATTCCATACTGGCGAAACTTGTCCACAATCCGGTCGCCTTCTTCTTGGCGCCGCTTCGTGTGGCTCTTCATCGGCTTTGCAGCGAATGAGCCGCCCGTATTTCGTCCCGACTCTGCTGACTCGTCGGATGTTTCTGCTTCTTCCTCCGACTCGGATTGTCAGGTCGAGAAGTTGAAACCGCGTCCGCCGAAGCCGCCGGCACCGCCACCTCCACGAGGGCGGCCACCACCGTCGGCAAAGTTGAAGTGCGCACCACCGCCACCTCCGCCGGGGAAGCCGCCTCCATTGAAGCCGCCACCGCCGCCGAAGCCGCCGCCACCACCCATCATGTTGAAGAGGATCTCGGGGTCGATGCCGCCGTGCATGCCGCCCATACCTCCCATGCCGCCCATGCCACCACCGTGGCTGAACATGTCAGACGGGTCCATAAGGTCCTCGCCGCTGTCGTAGCTGGCACGCTTCCTGCAAACGGGATTAGCAAATAGTGGATAACGTACACACGTATCAACTTACTGAGAGTCACTCAGGGTCTCATAGGCTTCTCCAATATCCTTGAAGCGCTCAGCAGCCTGTTCGTCGTTGGGGTTCTTGTCCGGGTGGTGAATGATGGCTAGCTTGCGGTAGGCCTTCTTGATCTGGTTATCATCCGCGTCCTTCTCAACCCCGAGGATCTTGTAGTAGTCCTTGCGCTGGCTCTTCTTCAGCTCCAGCTCAGCCCGGCGCACCTCCTTGGCGATGCTACGATCCTCAGGATCCAACTCCTGGATGTTCTTCCACTCCTTCACAGCATCCTCCCACTTGCCTGCCTGGCCATATGCGTTGGCCTTGGTCTTGCGAGCCTTGAGGTATGTTGAGTCCAAGCTGATGGCGCGCTCGCAGTCAGCAATGGCTGCGTCGTACTCCTTGAGCTTGATCTTGCACAGCGCTCTGTTCTGCAGAATCTTGGAGTTGGTGCCACGGTTGGCGGGATCAACCTCGAGCGCGGCGCTGTACTTCTCAATGGCGGACTGCCAGCGACCCATCTTGTAGTCCTGATTACCCTCCTCCTTCATGCGGTCGAGCTTCTGCACGATTCTGAGGTACTTAACCGCATCCCGCATGTCGGGGTCGCAGCTGATGGCCTTACGGAAGTGGCTGACAGCCTTGTCGTTCTCACCCTGGGCGTAGAGGGCACGACCGCGGAGCACCAGGGCCTCGGGGTCCTGGCTGTTGCCTCTCAACAGGCCCATGGCAAGATTCTGCGCCTCGCCGAGGGCGTTGACGGTACCCATCTTGAGGTACGCCTCACCACGCATCAGCTGCCACTTCCGGGGTCTGGAGGCTCCGAAGCCAAGCTGACGCTCGGCCTGGTCGAGGGCGTGGAGCACCATTGATCCAGCAGTGCCGTCTCTCAAGGCACTCTGCGCAGCGTTGACGTGCTTCAGCATCTCCTTGGCCGGAGCCTGGTCCTTGGCTGAAGGAGGGGGGTTGATGCGACCGAAGACGAGCAGGGCCTCTTGAGGCTGTCCCAAGCTGGTGTAGATGCGAGCAAGTCGGAGAAGGATCTTGGGGTTCTCGGGGTCCAAGTCGGAGGCACGGGTGCAGTCATCGAGGGCGTACTCGTACTGGGTGTTGGACATGTATGCAGCAGCGCGGTTGCTCAGATAGGTAGCCGAATCGGGGACCAACTCGATGGCTGGAGCAGACTTGTCAATTTGTAGCCTAGACAGATTCGCAATCGGCAACACTTACCCTTGGAGTATTGAAGAATGGCATTCTTGTAGTCCTTCTCCTTGAAGAACTTGTTGCCAGCAGCCTTGTAGGCCTCGGCCTCGTCCTCAGTCGTGGGGACTGGACTGGAGGGGTTGGACTTGTGAGGAGGAGGGGCTGGAGCATCGCCATTGCCGTTAATATTGGTGTTGATGCCGTTTGGCTTGGGCACGGAGAAGGAAGTCTGCGCAGAGGGTTGGGGTGCAGCAGCAGCGGGAGCGGCAGCAGCAGGAGGCGAAGAAGGCGCCGCGCTCGACTCACGGTCGATATCCATGGCGTTTCCACTCATGGCTGAGAGTGCAGAAAGTCTCTTTGCACGTTCTTCAGGAGGAAGATTGAGGGGGTGAGAATCGAGGTCGATTTTGCTGCTCCTTCGTGAGCCGGGATCGGTGGGGTGGCGGCCAAAGGTGCGGGAAGTGCGCGACGGCTTTGTCTCCCGAGGGCCTGGGGATGCAGGTTGGGAGGGTTTTTTGGTGGGGGATTTTGTCGGCGATTTGATGGGCGACCGGGGCTTTGTGGGCGACTTTGTGGGAGAAGAAGCTTCAGAGGAGGGGAAGTAGCTCGATTCTTGGTGGTTGTCGTCGTCGTCCTGACCTTGCTTCTTGGACGATTTCTTTGCGAAGAGCTTCATTGATAAAGCAGGCGACCCTCTGAGGGGAACCAAAGAATGCGCAGGCTTATTTTTTTTGTTGGTTAATTAGGTAAGGAGGGTCGGTACACCTCGATGCAAGGTTATGCTTGTGCACCAGATTCCCCAAACCACAATAACGGGCCTAGTGAAGGAGGGCGGGCAGGCAAGAGTGCGGAAAAAAAGCACCTGCTATTTTTTTTTCTTCTGGGCTGCTTGGGTGCGTCCAGCGGAAGGCAGCGGAACCTTGCCTTGACTCGGATGGATGAGTACGGGAGAGGGCGGCTTGTGCGGAAGTTGATTGCAGATGGCCGTCCCAGTATGTTCGTTCGTATCGAAGAATCCCGACGAATACAACGATGATGAGGCAGTGTGGTGTGAGTGAGCGAGATAGTTGAAGTGTGAGTGAGAGTAAGGTAGGAGAGAAGAACAAGACGGATTGGCTGCTCCCGGAAGGCAAGGTTAGGTGAGGGCGGATGAGGAGGGAAAAGAGGAAGGAAGCCCAGGCTATTGAGAAGAGGCTCGGCGAGAAGACACACAGCCCATCGGAGTGGGCACTGGAGGGGAGATACAGCCGGCGCAAGCTGCAGGGTGCTTTTCCAGTGAGGAAGCAGAGCAAAAAAAGTATCCGTTACTTTTGGGCAAAGCCGATGGATAGAGGAGGGGGAGGGGGGCGGGATCTGTGGAGAGAGAGAGCGAGAGAGAGGAAAAGATTCGAGAGAAAGAGGCAAGTAACGATGCAAGCAAAGCAGGAAGAAGAAGCTTTAGGAGCGGGATGCACAAAGTTGCTTTTCTGTTGTCATCTTTCGGTAATCCAAGGCAGGGGGACAAGAAAGGCCAAAGGTGAAATACCGAAAATCCCAGGATTCATCAAGCGAGACGAGCCTTAGCTGTGGCTGTCTCTCCCACCTCCGGGCAGGGGGAGGGACTCGTGTAGATTTATCAGCTGTGCACAATTTTTTTCTCCCACTCTTCCATCCTCATCTTGTTGCTTTTTCCCGTCTGCCAGGCCTGTTGACTGGTTTGCCTATTCGTCCGCTGTCCAGTGCCTTATGGATTACGGGGGAGACGGAGACTGGACAAGGTCACCACCGTATGCCCATGTGCTGGGCTGGCTATGCGTGATGTGGAAAATGTGCTAGCTGGGTAGCTGTCCATACACAGCTTGCCATGCAAAAAGATGTACATTGTACGGATTATGGTACGAAACTTACGCCCACAGCCTACCCGGCAGGCACAGGAGATATCCTCCCCCCCTGGACCAGCGCAGAAGCAGGACCGCTGCGACCGCAGAGAAACACAAACGTGGATGTACAATAACGGCTCTGCTGGGCAACTGGCACATGGCAACTCCCATTGGGGAGTGGCCATCACCAACGGCACCCAACCCAACTCGGTATCGAGTACATGCAGAACTGCGTGTCACTTGCGTGTGCTGAGCTCTGCATGCGAGGTAGATGTAACCAAGCACCACCTGGCACCTACCTAATACCTTACCTTACCTTACCTCAAGCACCAAGAGATTTGGAAAAAAAACAAAAAAAAAACAAAGAGTCGCCCGCCACTAAACCCAACCCCACAAGAAGCTTGTCCAAACGGCCCAGTCCCGTCCCCCGTTGACTACTGGCAGTCCCCGCGGAGCCAATGGTACGCTTGGGGACCGCAACTTGTTTACCGTGATACCTGCACCGTAGTGGATGAAGGGGATCGTCGGACGACCGCCACTGGACCGTTGTTGAAGTGTTGACCTGGTGTCCTGTCGTCTCCTAGCCACCCTTATTTCTTGTTGTCTTTTTTTCTGGTGGCCAATGACCAATGGTATACCAGGCGCAAGAACTCTCGCGGAGCTTGCCAAGGGGACCAGGTTGAAAGTCGTCTGGGTATCCGTATCATGCATCCGTATGTCTGTACTCCGTACGGAGTCCATACGAATATGGGACCTGGGCTTTCCACTGACTACGCAGTAGAAAATAGAAACAGACTAGGATGATGGCTAGACTTTGGTTTCGCGAGAGAGGGGGGAGCTTGAGCTGTTCAGCCTCCATTTAGAGGGTCTCCATTTCCAGACGGGACCCCCAGAAGGCGATGGCGTCAAGGCGTTTGCAGGGACCCAAATGACCTGTCTCAAAAGCTACAGTGAATGTGATGGGTATCATGTGGAGGGACGAACAGAAGAACGGATGTTAAACTCAGGGACGTTGTTGACGGGCAACAGGAATACATTACATCTGAATTGGCTCCCAACTGACAGGAGCGTCAAAGCCTAAAATGCTACAGTAAGGTAGGTATTAGCCCAAAGGCACCTGCCGTCACCTCATGTCTCGTCCGTCCGACGTCCCGGCTCGGATACAGACGAAAATCGCCATATCGGGGCGTTTGCAACCAACGGTGACCCCTTCCTTCTCTTTCGCTGCAACCCAGCGGGCCGGTTCGAGAAGGTTCGGTGGGGCCCCGTCCCGGGACCCTGCACAGTCAGCGAATCAACCTTGACGGTTGGCCGCTGTCATGGAACCCTTGGAGGCTGCTTGGGGTGGTCCGCCGAACCGCCCGAAGAAAAGCGTTACCGTCTCTGATGACACCCGACCACTTCCTGCACCGTGGGAGCGTGGGAGAGGGCCTCACCTCATGCCTCAGGTCAGACTTCTCTCCGTGTCAGGACTGATGAAAAGTCCCTAGTTTTTGGAGCACGCAGCGACCAGACCATCCAAGGACCCATGTCCTAGTCGCCACTACCGCCCGCCCCTTGGAAATATGTGTGCTGCACTGCGGGTGCGAGTGCAGGCTGCAGAAGGGGGCCTAGCACTGGCTGATTTGCAGCAATCCCATCCCCAACCTCCTGCAAACCGAGCTGATGGCATCACCATGGCCCATCCCATGCCGCCCTCTTTGCCGGTTCACAATTTCCGCCTTCTTGACAGATCTCGTTGCTCTCTCATAGTCAAGAGCTACAGAAGTATAGCGGAGCGAGCGGGTCGTCAACGTCTCTCACGCATGCAGGTCGAAGCCAAAGTCATACATCGTGCATGCACTGCCCGTTCAACGGGGGTGCCTGTCTCCCAGCCTTTCCCATTACCCAGAATCCCATATCGCGTCTCGATTTGCGAGCTTGGATGATGTCCTCGAGCTTTGGGGAGCTGCGCCCACCCGATCTCAGTCACACATCTTCTTCCCTCACTCTTCATGTTGTCGGTGGTCACATCAAGTGCCTGCGGCTGCACGTTGTCACCCTGGACTCGGCGCTAAACGGAAACCAAACTGCCATGCTGTGAAACCCAGCCGAAATTATACCTGTTATTACCGTGCTCCTATGTGCTTGATGCAAATAAAGTACAGTCATGTCCAAATGCGTTCATCAATCCTCGTTTCCATGTATTTGTGCTTTCATCCCGGAGAGGTTTGTCCCCACGTGCCTCTCGCTCATGTCGTCACCAACAATTACCTTGATTCCCCCATGCGCCGCGTACCTTGCCTGAATTAAGCTCAATCCTCAGATCCCTCCGCCGATGCGGCTTCGGATGTCGTATTGCTCCCCATGATGGAGTTGACAAAGTCCTGGTATCTAAACACCTCACGGCGATTTCCTAAACCGCCTTGCATGTTGCGGTTGAAAGCTCGTCTGCCGGTGAATCCTTCGATGACCTTTTCAACCTCGGTCTCTGTAAGCGGTCGCTCGCCAGGCTCTGGCGCGGTGTGCAGAAGCGCATCCCGCAGCTCCGCGAGGTCGATCTGTCCGCTGTCATCGTCGTCGAACGCTGAGAAAGCAGATAGCAACTCAGATTGTGGTGATAGGGAGGCGAGCATCGTAGCAAGGGAATTCAGGAACGCAGCCATTGTCATCGTTTGAGGTGTTGATGGCGGGAAGAAGTTTGACACGTCGGAGGGTTTGGACGGCAGGCCTGGAAAATTTGTTAAACGAGGGAACTCGATTGATATGTTGAGTTTTCCAATCTTACCCAACTGATTCAGCATGTCGGCTACATCTTCCCTATTGATGACGCCATCGCTGTCGCGATCCAGGACCTCGAAACCCTCTCGAAGCTGTCTGACTTGCGCAGGTTGTAAATGCGATATGGCGTTCCCATGGCTCATTGTCTTCTTCAAACCGGGCCGCAGAGGCTGTGGCGAGGTCATGGTGGTGGTTTCGGCTGTTGGTGTTCGTACTCGCGGCGTCTTGCTCTCGGCCGTGTCTGTTGGGGTGGTTGGGTTGCCGAAGCGCCCGTTATTCGTAGCGTAGGATGCCTTCGTGGGCGACCCGAAAGGCGTCACTTGTGTCACCTGGGTCGTTGAGGTCTGTCGGACTGCTGATGGCGATGCTGGAGATTCTGGTCGTCTGAATGGAGAACTGCGAGGAGAGCCATGAGGCCCTAGTGGAGAAGGTTTGTAGCCAGCGGGCATTGCCTGTTGTGGGTTCTTCAGGTCAAAATTCATGCGACTTTCTAAGAGATGTAATGATCCGCGCGCGAAATGGGCCCTAGCCTACCATATCGAAAAGGTGTTCGGGGCGGGAGCAGCTGTGGGTGGGAAATAGGGAGTGCCTTGCTCTGGATCTTTGATGCCGCGCGCCCACTTGGCAGCAAAGTAAACAATGAGAAATATGGGGATTGGGCCGAGAGACGACGGTAAGCGTACGAGAGACAAGTAGAGTACGGCAATGTGAAGAAGAAAAGCAACTGCTAAAATTGCGTATCGCGTTTCTGGTATCAGTATCGAATAGAATGTATTGTTGAATGGTTCTGCGTTGGTTTTAAAATGGCGTTGCAGTTCAATTGTGGAAAGGTCCGACCCAGAGCAGAGACAATAGGTGGCTTTGGGTGACAGATGAATGTAAACAGAGGCGTCTTCTCCGTGACAACCGTAGCCTTGCATGACCCTCCCGTCCGTGCATGGCAATTCCGGGGGGAAGGGGGGAGAGCCTCATCCCTCAGGGAGGGGGGGAGGTGTGGCTGTCAATATGTGGCTTGATCACAATTCCCTGTGTCAGCTGCCAAAATGAGACTCTCCAGCCACATGGGTTTCATGTAAGGTCCCTTGGGGCGCTAAGCAAAAATTAGGTTGAGAGCGACAGCTCGGACCACCAATCTCTCAAAAGGGGAAAGCACAAAGGACATGGGAAGGCGGGGGGGAGGAACGTGGAAAGGGGAAGAGGCAGGAGGGGACCAAGGGGGTCCTTGGGGGCAGCCGAGAAAAGAAGGCCCTGCCTTTCCAGTTCCATAGTAAGGGAAGGTATTCGTCGGTGGGTGGTCACTGATGCCAGGTGGTGGGCAAGCCGCAAATGGAGGGGGGCTTGAGAGGGATTTTAGGAGGGAAAAGAGGACACTGAGAATCCGTGATCAGCATTGTTCCCGACGCATTCGTCCAAGGCTTTCTCGCTTTCTCTCGCAGACACTGCCCACTTGGCTCACGGATACGGATCCCAGCTTGAGCCCACACTCGCTGTCAACTACCTGCCTGCCTACGACACACTAACAGCAACGTAGGGCCGCCTCGTGTCTGTTCTTCCCTCTTTGTCTGTCCCCGGGCTGAGTGTCTGACTTGACTGACAGATTGCCCGTCTGTGTGTCGGTCGATTGCCCACCAGCTGGCCCTGGCTTGTCTGGCTCCTCCGAGGTACGCGCGCTGAAGAGTTCTGAATCTGAATCTATCCGTAACCACGACCTGCTCTACTCGTCACCTTTGACTAGCCCCGAGCGACACGCGGAGGGCCGCCAGTGTCCGGCGACCACCAACCAGAGGTCCTTGTCGCGGCAATCCATCCAGGGGCACACTGCAAGACCTCCCCCCTCCATCTCAATCCGACGCCCTGTTTGGTTCGCACCAAGAGGTGCGTACCTTGCTTCGGCGCGCCTTAGCTGAGCATTATTCGAGCCGGTGGGGGATCGAATTGGATTGCACAATTTTAAAAAAGAGGAAAAAGAAGCACCGCACTATCAACTATCCCCTGTCAGGAGTCCTGCCTGGTTTGGGACTCCTAGAAACCTTTCTGTACGCACTACTCCGTACGGAAACCTACCTTTAAGAAGTCAAGGATACCAAGAACGCCTGCGAGCAACCCAATTAGAACCGACGAGACCAGAAGACCAGACCAAACGTCGAAGCAGATCATGTCTCGGTGATTTTCTCTTCCACGCATTGACGCTTTCTGCATCTGTCCCCCGACAGGATATACCTGCTCTCTCTCCCCCTCGTGTGCCGGAGGGGCCATCCTGTTTCCGCTGGTTGGCAAAGACTGGTAAATGTCAGTCACTCGCCTGCATCTGACGTTTCGAAGAGCGCATTCGGCTATCGTCTGAGAACGCCTCCACGCGCTACCCTGGACTTGAATACGGTTACCTACCGCGCATACCTACACCACCTTACCAATACCGCTCCTGGACTACCTTGCACCTAAGGATACAACTACGTACTATACCGCCTCTCCAACTCCGTCCTCCCGTTCCCTCGTACTCCGTGCTTCGTACCCATCTACCCTTCCGTCGCCGCCCTTCCCCCCCCTCCATCTCGCATCTTGCATCCTGGCCCATCGACTCGCACTCGGCTTCAAGGACGCCCGACCTCCAATCACCTATTGTACGATTTCAGCGACGACGACCTGGCAAATAATCACTTGATTGCCCTTGTTAATGTCGCAGCATCACCGTCGAATGTCGTTGGCTGCGAGCCGTTAATCTTTCTGGGAAATTGTCAGCAAAGGGCTCCCACCATCGTCGCATTTCTCGATCGGAGACAAACCTACTTTTGCTGCACCTCCACGAACGGACCTCTCGACTGCATTTGGATGGCTGTGGCCACCGGCAGCCTGCGCAACACCTTGAACCCCCCAGCTACCGACTCGTTGAACAACTCCGCAATTTAACATTGCTTTCACAAGCATGGCTTCGACCCAAGCTGCGCTGCCGTTCCTCACGCGCAACTATTCAAACACGCAGACCCAGTACCCTCCACCGCCCAACGGCCCTTGGCCTAGTCGTCGCACTTCACTCTCCAGTTTCCCAGCTTCGCGATCGCCTTCGTCAATGTCCAACACATCTCGCCCGTCGCGATCTCCCCAGCCGCCTCCCATTGCCGAGACGGACCGCTCCTCGAACCCGAGCTCAAAGTCAAAGACACCGTCTACCGGTGTCTCGTCACAACACTCGTCGCTGTCTGCCCCGAGGCGATACAATCCGGATGCGCATCCTCCTCGCAAGTTGCGCTCGCAATACCCGCGAGGTTCCACCGAGAACCATGTCGAGTACATCTTGGTGGCCTCGTTCGATATAGATCGGGGCCCGGTCATGGAGCACCAATACCCTGTTTCCATTACCGGCGACGAACATATGCTCGCAGAACTCATGTTGCCCGATCAGGCCCATGTTCGGAATCAGGACTGGACTATTTTCTTCTTACACAAGGACACGAGCCAAGAGGAAGAGGACGAGGAACGTAAGGCGAAAGAGGCCAGGAAGAGGAGAAGAAGGCGTTTGCGCAATCGCGCTGCTGGCATCGTCGATGAGGAAGATGACGGCGCGGACTTGGACGAAGATGAGGGGGACCTCGATGACTTAGACGAATACGACGACGAGGATTCGGACGACGGCGAACCCGAAGGCGGAGCAGGCCCGCCGTTGATCTATGTTCTGAACTTGGTCAACACAAAGCAGGACAAAACGGTCAAGAGAGGTGCTGTTGTCAAGGCGATGGCAATCTGCACGAGGCATCCCTTCCTGCATATATACAAGGTGAGAGCTTGCTAGCCTTCTGCTCCCCTCGCTTGATCAGCCGGCTTACTTATATCAGCCCCTTTTGTTGCTTGCCTTGGACGAGTACTTTAAGGCGCCCGTTCCCGAGACGCTGGCGATGCTCTACGATGCCGTCAACGCAATGGACCTGTCTCTCATGCCGAAGCTTAGCCTGCTTGAGAGGCACCTGCTTTTGGCTAGTGATAACAAAGATCTGTTCGTGGAAAAGTTTGAGCAAATGATTCAAATGCGGATAGCCGAGGACCGCGGCGAACACCTCTCAGATCAGCCTTTCGATGCAAGTCGAGACCCTCCAAAACTGCCGGGTGTTTCTAGAGCAGGAACAAAAGCGCACGTCGAAGGTGCATCGCAGTATTCGGTTCCAAGGGACACACACGAGTTTGAAAGCAGAGTCATGTACAAGGGCATACCAATTCCCATCAAAGTTCCCGTTGCTGTCATGCCGGAAACGGTGGGCGACTTTTCTTTGATCAAACTGATCCAGAAGTTTTCGGAGCCACAAGGCAAGGCGCCACAACCGTTCCCCCTGCATCCTCAATTGACGACAAACGGCCCGCATACGCACCCCATCATTGTATTGGTCAATGCGTTGTTGACGCAAAAGCGGGTGATCTTCCTGGGGCACAATATGCCATCAGGCGAGGTTGCGGAGGCAGTCTTGGCGGCCTGCGCCTTGGCATCCGGCGGTACGCTCAGGGGCTTCACGCGTCACGCGTTTCCTTATACCGACTTGACCAAGATTGATGATCTCCTCAATGTTCCCGGCTTCATTGCTGGAGTCACCAATCCGACATTCGAACTGCACCCCGAGTGGTGGGATGTATTGTGCGATTTACCTACAGGCCGAGTCAAGATCAGTAGCAAGATCGATTCGGCTCCAGTGACGGAGGGGATGGTCTACTTTCAACAGCAAAACCCGTCATATGCTGGGCTTGTCGGAGGCACCTCCAAGGTCGCGGCCGAAAGTGATTTGACAGGCGACGCGGCTTTCATGCAAGATATCCTACGAAGTATCGCGGCAAGGCACGGTGAGAGAGTAATACGCGCCAAATGGCGAGACTGGGTTATCAAATTCACGCGAATCGCAGCTGCGTTTGAGGAAAGTGTGTACGGCGCAAGTGCTCTTTACATTGGCGGCGACGAACTAGAGATGGGTCCGGTGGGCGTGAACGGGCACGGCTACGTGTGGCCTGATGAACAATCGAAACACAAGGAGCTTGCGGGTAATGTGACGAGGATCGAAGGGTGGAGGAACACAAGGAGCTACTACAGCTTCATCCAGGTAAGGGAGCCACGGAATCTGTCCCTGTTCTCAAGGACTTAAACTAGTCGTCGTAGGATCTCGCACTGCTTTACACAGTGAGGCCGTTGAAGGGCCTCGACTTACACCACATGCACGACCGACTACGGACACAACGGCTCAACCCGATGCAAAGCAAGGAAATCTACGCAGCGTTTCACAAGTATGTCCACTCTTACGACGAGATCTGTTTGCTGTTGAGCGTTGCGCCAGAGTCGCATGCTGGCCTGTTCTACGTCGCACTTGGCCTCTTCCACAAGGACCGCGAAGTGCGCCTCAAGACGGCCGACCTGCTGGAACGCATTGGCGAGCACGAGGCGGGGCAGCACTGGTGGAAGGCTCTCAGCCGGTTCGAGAAACTGGCCTACAACCGCATTCGCAAGGAGATGGACGCCGAGATGCGGGCGAAGCTCGAAAAGGAGGGCTTGAGTCCCGAGGTGGAGAAACGGGTCAGCTAGGCGCTTTTCCTGACTTCTTCGGTTGCATCTAACTAGATATACTCCCATCACGGCCGGCGCTCTCTCTCTCTCATATTACCCGGCACCGGCGTTTCTGCTATATCACACTCATGTCATGCGCAAAATACTCCATGCGGCAGGAGAATAGGTGCTTTTGGGGGGTTTTGTTTTTTTCTCTTCACGAAGGTCATGATTGGAACGGGGTGGATGAAACGTCGATTATTATTCTCAAATTTCAAGAATCTCAGCAGCAACCTACTACTACCCTACTTATAAAAGAAGAACTACATGTCGACTGCGCGCACGCAACGTCTCTTTGTCCTCTCGACATCTTTGGTATTCCGACCCGGGTTGACCTTTGGTTCCTTTCCCTCCCTCACTGCGTGCTCCCTGATCACTGACGTCAACGTTATCGTTTACTTTGTTTACAGTCTTGTCCGACCTTCGAGTCACGCGGAGCCGAGACCCAGGTGCTTGGCAGCGTGGTCTACGTGGTCCTTGGCGAAGGAGGCCATGAAGAAGTAGGAGTGGTCGTATCCCTACATACTCTAGTCAGCGTCTAAAAGTTTGAATATGACGATGAATTGGGCTCAACTTACGTAGTGGTATCTCAGGCTCAGACCCTGGAGGTTCTTCTCCTTGACGACCTTTTCAAAGTTCTCGGGCAGCAGTTGCTTCTGGATGTAGAAGTTGTCACCGAGGCCCTGGTGTCTCTTGTATTAGTGCCAGCTCCCATATGCGTCATTGTGATCATATGAGCTCAAGTAACTTACGACATCAATGAGGGCGTTCAGGGGACCGTAGCTCCAGTTCTTGACGAGCTCGGTGGAGTCGTGCTTGGCCCACTCGGCGCGGTCGTCGCCGAGGTATCCCGTGAAGGCCTTCTCGCCCCAGGGGCACTTTGACGGGTTGGCGATGGGGGCGAAGGCGCTGACGGAGCGGTACATGCCCGGGTGGCGGAGGTAGAGCGACAGCGCGCCGTGGCCGCCCATGGAGTGACCCGTGATGGAGATGCGGGAGCGGTCGAGCTTGCCTGCGAACTCGCGGAAGAGCAGCTCGGGGAGCTCCTTTGTGATGTAGGTCTCCATTTTGTAGTTTTGGCGGAAGGGCTCGCGGGTGGCGTCGACGTAGAAGGAGGCCGCCTCGCCAAAGTCCCAGGAATCGCGCTCGCCGGCGAGGTCGAGGCCGCGCGGGGAGGTGTCTGGGTAGACGACGGCGAGGCCGCGGGCGGAGGCCTGGGATTGGAAGAAGCCCTTTTCGGTGCAGTTGTCCGGGGTGCAGGTCAGGCCCGAGAGATAGAAGAGGACGGGGACGGCGCGGGTGGTTGCCTGCGGGGGCAGGTAGAGGTTCACGGCCATGTCGGTGCCGGTGGAGTTTGACTTGTGGGACAGCTTGAGGAGCTGGCCCCCAAAGGAGGTGATGGTCGCCTTGGTTTGGAAGGTTGCGGTGGCCATTGTTGCTATTTTGCTGTTTTGGGTATCAACTATGTGTCAATTGGGTGTTGAAAGGGGGGTATATAATGCTGTTCGTTATCAAGCAAGACGAGAGATGTTGAAGGGAGTGGGGGAGGAAGAAGAGCTTGAAATTATTCTATGCCTGGAAGAAAGGAAAAAAAGAGAGGACCTGGGGGTTATCAAGAGGAAGGGCGGCATCTGAGGAGGTCTAATAAATAAAAACACCGAGTTAAGTCCACTCGAATTCAGATCGGAGAAGTGGAGGAGGAGCACAGAGAGAGAGCTTGGCTTGGCTTGGATTCATCTCTACCCCCCTCCGCCTCGTCCTGCCATTGACCGTTTGTCCCTCCTTCATCATGATGCCGATTTTACCCCACCATGGACCGCCGAACGCCCAGCAGGGATGCAGGAGCGAACCCCTCCAAGGTCTCACCCAGCAAGGTGTGCCGTGTACAAGTGCTGCTAGGCGTATAACATACCAAAGGTGGCAAAGCTACCCGGCAGAGGAAAGTACTTACGTACGGCTGGGTATAGCTACAGCTACTCCGTACGAATACCTAAGCTATCTATCGCCCGGCGATCCAGTTTGCGTTTGTAATGCATTGTGTGGGTGCGAGGTCTTTTCACTTCATGCTCTCAGCTGCGACGAACCCCGCA